CGGTATCTATCAATACAAAAACCTGATCTGATACTTCTATAATGCATTAATTCATTTTCTTTTCAGCTTAGTCCCTTTATTAATCAGGGGTCGCCACAGTGGAATGAACCACCAACTTATCCAGTCAATCATGTAATAAATAACATCAATTCTTTACCTCTTGCAATCCCAAGTTTACATATCTCACAGTTTGCTATGCAATGTTGTCACCATCAACTTACTTTATTCCAGCTGTTTTCAAGGCAAGTTCATACACGTACCGGCCACTTTATTAGGTACACCTGTCCAACTGCACATTAATGCAAATGTCTAATCGGCCAATCACATGGCTGCAGCTCAATGCATTTAGGCATGTAGACATGGTCAAGACGATCTGCTGCAGTTTAAAGTGACCATCAGAATGGGGAAGAAAGGGGATTTAAGTGACTTTGAACGTGGCATGGTTGGTGTCAGACTGGCTGCTCTGAGTATTTCAGAATCTGCTGATCTACTGGGTTTTTCATGCACAACCATCTCTAGGGTTTACAGAGAATGCTCCAACAAAGAGGAAATATCCAGTGAGCGGCAGTTCTGTGGATGCAAATTCCTTGTTGATGCCAAAGGTCAGAGGAGAATGGCCAGACTGGTTCCAGCTGGTAGAAAGGCAACAGTAACTCAAATAAGCACTCGCTACAACCGAGCTCTGCAGAAGAGCATCTCTGAACACACAACACAGCCAACCTTGAGGCGGATGGGCTACAGCAGCAGAAGAGCACACCGGGTGCCGCTCCTGTCAGCTAAGAACAGGAAACTGAGGCTACAATTCACACAGACTCACCAAAACTGGACAATAGAAGATTGGAGAAACGTTGCTGCTCTGATGAGTCTCCATTTCTGCTGACACATTCGGATGCTCAGCTCAGAATTTGGCCTCAACATCATGAAAGCATGGATCATCCTGCCTTGTATCAGTGGTTCAGGCTGGTGGTGGTGGTGTAATGGTGTGGGGGAGATTTTCTTTGGGTCCATTAGTACCAATTGAGCATCAACGCCACAGCCTACCTGAGTATTGCTGCTGACCATGTCCATCCCTTTATGAGCACAGTGTCTCCATCTTCTGATGGCTACTTCCAGCAGGATAACGCAGCATGTCATAAAGCTGACGATGAGTTCACTGTACTCAAATGGCCTCCACAGTCACCAGAGCTCAATCCAATAGAGCAGCTTTGGGATGTGGTGGAACGGGAGATTGGCATCATGGATGTGCAGCCGACAAATCTGCAGCAACTGTGTGATGCTATCATGACAATATGGAGAAAAATCTCTGAGGAATATTTCCAGTAGCTTGTTGAATCTACGCCATGAAGGATTAAGACAGTTCAACCCGGTACTAGTAAAGTGTACCTAATAAAGTAGTAGAACAATTAGAAGTAGAAGAAATTATTTAACATTAAGGAGTACTAACATTTATACAGTCTTAGCCATCCCTTTAAGAGTATCCATGATGCTGAAGTGGGGCTCAGTGAACCTAAAACCCCTGCATTAGATTAGAAGTTTCTGCGTTTTAATCATTTTAATTCTTTGTTTTTGTGTTTCGCTTTCTGTGATTAGTTTATGATTAGTTTTTAATCTTATCTTTTATGTAGAGCACTTTGAGTTAAGACTGTGTATCTAATGTGCTATACAAATATCCTTGCTTTGCATGTAATGATGTAGATGTTGAGGGGTCAGTCTTGTTTAGTGTGGGGGATACGCACGTATAATATCACACGTCTGCTAATGTTCTCAGTCTCTCAGCAGTTTCACTTCATGGTTTCGTGGTGACTGGACATGTCTAATGCAGCGTGCCTGACCAATAAAGAGGAAGGTCAAGGGGGATAACAGACCAGATTGTAGGAGACCAGAATTAAGAAATGCATTGATGAAGAAGTGAACCTTGCTGTTCTGTAGTATATATGACATTTCAGTGATTCATTGCAGTGATTTCAATTATTTATTTTAATTTCAAGTGATAGTTGGATTAAGCCGCGTTTCTAAAGGCACAACATATATTCATTAAAGTATCCCAAAACTACCAGAACAGTGTTGCTGACTTATGCACTTGCATTATTCAAAATATTTGCAAGAATGTTTAAATCCAGAGAAATAATGCTTGATTTCTGGTTTGGTTTGATTAATATTATTGACTCAACACTTCCAGCATCAGTCCCGTCCATTCATTTTTAACTGTTAAAAACCGCTCGTTATGCTGCTTGATCAACACAGGCTCATTCTGCATTTCGATAGACTCATTCCAACACTATGTGGAGGTGTGACGCTGTTTCTTTTTGTGTGTACCAGCTGACCGCTTACCTCTGTATGGATGCTTTTCTGATGTTTGTCCAGTAGCTCGCCGCTTACGTCAGTATTACCCCGACACCACCCAACCCGCTCCGATCTGGTATCGAACCAGCGACCATCCACATGGGAGTCGGTTGCTCAAACAAGGAGGCTAAAGACCATAGCCTCTAGCGCCTGTTACTAGAGCACCTTTAGAGGTCAGAGGAGTGAGGTTCACCTGCACAGCACACACTAGCTGGCCTCTGTTACACTCACCCCGCTAAACCTCACTCTCATTCGGGTCACGGCACCATTGTAACTCCGCCAGTCCTACGCCACCCAATCCGCTCCCAGCTGGTATCGAACCGGCGACCTTGCCGGTGGGTTGCTCTACCAAGGAGGCTAAAGACCATGTCCTCTAGCTCATGCTCGTCATCTGATGGTCAACTATCGCTGTAGCCACTGAGATAGTAGCCTGCTTTTCCTGCTGTTTGTACTGTGTTGATGGATGAGATGTCTGTCTGTTTTTATGTTCTGCAGAGCAGGAACCTGCTGAAAAACAGCATTCGTGCTGAGTCAGGCCCGATTGTCTTTTAATATTTTACTGTTTAAAATTTTTTATGATTAAATAAATAAATAGCGTCTGCCGCTAGAGCACCTGTAGAGATGACCGCAATAATGGTGTTCAAATTGGGCGAAGAACAGTTCCAGAAAGCAGGTAAGACAAAACCAAAAGCTGCAAGCAGCAATGAAAGGGACCAGTGCCCTCAGGATGACAGAGAATAGCGGATAATGATAATTTAAGCTGATTAATAAAAATCCTGAGAAAGTCACAGATTTATGCCAAACTTCTTTCTGTCAGCAGGTGGCGCTATGACTGTCTGTTGGCATGTAGGGCTCTATTTTGACGGTTCATGCGCAGAGCGCAAAACGCAGGGCGCAAACGCTTTCAGGGCGTGTCAGGACGCATTTTTGCTAATTTAAGGAGGGGAAATCTGCCTTGCGCCGTGGCACATGGTCTAAAAGGGTTGAGTTTATTTTCTTAATGAGTTATAGGTGTGTTTTGAGAATAAACCAATTAGAGCCTCATCTCCCATTCCCTTTAAGAGCAGCTGCGTCACGCCAAGAGCGCATTCACTATTTACAGGACGCAAAGTAAGTCTAAGTGGAAAAACTGAGCATTTCACAAGCAAACAGTTCACAGTGTTTTAACAGAAAACTGTTAAACAGAGCATCTACTGCGTGAGAATGAGAGATAATGGATCACTTTCACTTTCGCTCTTGGATGGGGAAACCTTTACACACAGACATCAATTAGCCTATAAATAATTAATTTAGTTTGTTATGCGCAAATATTTGTTTAAAACTATTTCTAAATTCAGTTCTAATTTACAGCAAACAAATAAATGAACAATAATAACAAAATGTGCTCAAAAACCTGAGTTATATCCTAAAACACATGCTGTGCCCCATATGGTCTAAAACCTGCAGGTGGGCAAATCTAAGCTTGTTTTTAATAAAACAAATATAAATATGGATATAATACATAATACTGCTAATAATAATAACATTATGCAAAAGCAAATTGTTATGAATGAACTGAAAAAGCCTCCCGAGATGAAGAAGACATAAAAGCAGTGATTTTTCATATTTATGTAGGCTAGAAAATAATATGTTTTGTAATATTTTAATCCTTTATATTTATATTATATATCTATTCTTATTATATCCTATATATATCCTTAATATTTACATTTTTTCATATGTAAAGATATTTGCCTATTGCTCTCTTGTGTGTATTAAGCAGTGTGTAAGTGAGGCTCAACTCTGCGCTGGAGTTTAGACCGGGTTTGTTTTGGTCTAATGAAAAATCTATTATAGTTTCTCAAAATAGCAACGCGCCAGCGGTCCGCCTCAGAACACCTTCCTTTTTAGACCAGAACACCTATGAGCGCACAAATGAGCGCTAATGCATTTGCTATTTAAACAGCGTAACGCAATGCCTCAAAACCACTCTTGCGCCAAGCTGAAACTACCAAAAGACTATTGCGCCGCGCCTTGCGCCCCATTGCGCTGGGTGTATGATAGGGCCCTAGATGTCTTCAGGAATTTTGTCTAATCTGTGAATTTTCAAAAGGATCAGACATTGTGCGGCTGAGTTATAGGTACTTCCTCCTCCATGGTAATACACTGAGGTTTGTCAGTTCCACAGACATGCAATTTCTTCACAATTTATCAGCACAAAGGCCTTTGGATTACACTGACAAACATAAATTCCATCTGATAACATTTGTGGGAGGAGTTTGTTCAAGTGTAAAACATGTCATTTCCTGTTTCCAGCAGGTGGCGCTATAACTGTAACTGGATATTGGCATGTAAACGTGTTCAGGTCAGGACTCTTATCAAACGTGTGAGTTTTGAGGCAGGTCGGGCAATCCCAGGTAGCAAAGAATTCTGGCCCAGATTTGGCATAAAGCTGGCACAGCAGGCATTCATCCGGCACTGGCATACAGCATGTGGGCCAAACGTGGCCCAGGTTTGGCAGAGGTGGCACCGTCTTTAGGGCAGCACACAATACTTGGGCCTCATCAAATGCAGTATTTGGCCCAGATGTTAAAAATGTGGGCCACGTAAGTTTGGCCCACCTTGACCCACTTTTAAAATGCATTTCAATTATTTTTGAGTAAATAAAATAAATTCTA